TTACTGCATCCTCTAGACCCCAGAATGGTAGATCCATTAACAGCTTACACCATGTGCCTGGAAAATATTCAGATAATGCCAGCTTGTCAAGGCAGCCAGGAGGGATCATACTACCTGACTTCAAATTTTTGTATTTTTAGTAGAGTCAGGGTTTCCCCATGTTGGTCAGGCTGGCCTTGAGCTCCTGACCTCAGGTGATCCACCTGCCTTGGCCTCCCAAAGTGCTGGGATTACAGGCGTGAGCCACTGTACTTGGCCTGGACTGTGTACTTTTGAGTTAATGCTGAAATGAGTTGAGACTTTGGGGGACTGTTTGGAAGGCATGATTCGATTTAAAATGTGAAGACACGAGATTTGGGAGGGGCCAGGTGTGGAATGATATGGTTTGGCTGTGTCCCCACCAAAATCTCATCTTGAATTTCCATGTGTCATGGGAGGGACCCAGTAGGAGGTCATTGAATCACGGGGCAGGACTTTCCTGTGCTATTCTTGTGATAGTGAATAAGTCTCACAAGATCTGCTGGTTTTAAAAAGGGGAGTTTCCCTGCACAAGCTCTCTTCTCTTGTCTGCCCCACGTGAGATGTCCCTTTCACCTTCCACTATGATTGTGAGGCCTCCCCAGTCAAGTGGAACTGTGAGTCCATTATACCTCCTTCCTTTGTAAATCACCCAGTCATGGGTATGACTTTATCAGCAGCGTGAAAATGGACTACTACACACCAGATACCCTAACTCATCTCTGTCAAGTTCAAAGTTCCACAAATCTCTAGGGCAGGGGCAAAATGCCACCAGTCTCTGCTAAAACAATATGAGCCACTCTTGCTCCAGTTTCCAATAAGTTCCTCATCTCCATCTGAGCCCACCTCAGCCTGGACTTTATCGTTCACATCGCCATCAGCATTTTTGTCAAAGTCATTCAACAAGTCTCTAGGAATTTTCAAACTTTCCCACATTTTCCTGTCTTCTTCTGAGCCCTCCAAATTGTTCCAGCCTCTGCCTGTTACCCAGTTCCAAAGTTGCGTCCACATTTTCAGGTACCTTTTCAGCAGTGACCCACTCGACTGGTACCAATTTACTGTATTTGTCTGTTTTCCACTGACGATAAAGACATACCTGAGACTGGCAATTTACAAAAGAAAGAGGTTTAGTTGGACTCACAGTTCCACGTAGCTGGGGAGGCCTCACAATCATAGTGGAGGTAAAGGAGGAGCAAGCCACATCTGTGGATGGTGGCAGGCAAAAAGACTGCTCCCTTCATAATTTTCAAAAGAAAATTGAGAAATTATAGAAATTGAAATATGTTTTTAAACTTGTAGTGAGTAGCAGAGTCAGATAAGACAAAGACACCAGCAGGGACTGGAATAAGAGGAGGATCTTTGGGAAACCCCAAAGACAAGGATATAGATTTCCAGTGTTTCTTCACCTCCACAGTTGGATGCAATCTCTTTCCTCTGAACAATTTGCAAACTTCTCCTTGGCTCTCTATAGTACTTATTATTTTCTACCTTATTTTAGGATTGTTTTTAATGCAGGTTTAATCTCACTTTCTAAACCCATTCCACTGTGCACAAGACTATGCCAACCTACCACTGAAGTCTGAGGAAGCTGAGAGGCTAAAGAGGCTAACATATCCAGTTTTTCAGAAAGAAACATTTCAGCTGGGCACGGTGGCTCACACCTGTAATTCCAGCACTTTGGGAGGCTAAGGTGGGCAGATCACGAGGTTAGGAGTTCAAGACCAGTCTGACCTACATAATGAAACCCTCTCAACTAAAAATACAAAAAATTAGACAGGTGTGGTGGTGTGCGCCTGTAATCCCAGTTACTTGGGAGGCTGAGGCAGGAGAATCGCGTGAATCCGGGAGGCAGAGTTTGTAGTGAGCCAAGATTGCACCACTGCACTCCAGACTGGACATCAATGTGAGACTCCATCTCAAAAAAAAAAAAAAAAAAAAAAAAAAAAAAAAAAAAAAAAAAAAAAAAGAAAAAAAAAATAAACATTTTATAGGGACTTATGAACAGAAGCCATATTTGTGTCCTTGGGTGAATCCAGGAGGCGGAGGTTGCAGTGAGCTGAGATTGTGCCATTGCACTCCAGCCTAGGTGACAGTGCGAGACTCCGTCTCAAAAAAAATAAAAATAAAAAAAAGAAAAGAAACATTTCATAGGGACTTATCAACAGAACGGTGGTAAGACAAGATGATGGGTCCCTGCACCATTGCCCACAAGACCCAGGGCTTATATACCTTAGGGAAAATGTGATTTGGAAGGGATCTGTGTGTAGTCTAAAATGCAACCGATTTGCACCATGAAGGGGTCACTGATATAGAGGTATGCTTTATTGATCTTACACTGGTGTCTATATATATATAGGAATAGAAGGTGACATATATCAATAGGTCCATGCTTTTTCTGAAATCATTCTGAAATTAGACTTGTCCATTTGCCATCTGAATGTCAGTGTTGTTTTCATATATACAGTTAGTTTTAGTTTATACATGTTTACATACCCATTTCCTTTTTTTAAAATTTCAAATTTTATTTTAGTTAGGTGGGGTACATGTGCAGATTCGTTACATGGGAATATTGTGTGATGCCAAGATCTGAAGTATGAATCCTGTCACCCTGGTAGTGAGCAAAGTACCCAGTAGTTTTGTTTTGTTTTGTTTTGTTTTGTTTTGTTTGAAATAGAGTCTTGCTCTGTCGCCCAGACTAGAGTACAGTGGCATGATCTCGGCTCACTGCAACCTCTGCTTTCCGGATTCAAGCAAGTCTCCTCCCTCAGCCTCCTGAGTAGCTGGGATTACAGGTGCACGCCACCACACCTGGCTAATTTTTTGTATTTTTAGTAGAGACCAGGTTTCACTATATTGATCAGGCTGGTCTTGAACTCCTGATCTCATGCTCCACCTACCTCAGCCTCCCAAAGTGTTGGGATTACAAGCACGAGCCACTGCGCTCAGATTTTTTTTTTTTTTTTTGAGACAGAATTTTGCTCTTGTTGCCCAGGCTAGAGTGCAATGATGCCATCTTGGCTCACTGCAACCTCCACCTCCCAGGTTCAAGTGATTCTCCTACCTCAGCTTCCCAAGTACCTGGGATTACAGGTGTGCCACCATGCCTGGCTAATTTTTGTATTTTTAGTAGAGATGGGGTTTCACCATGTTGGCCACGCTGGTCTTGAGCTCCTGATCTCAGGTGATCTGCCTGCCTCGGCCTCCCAAAGTGCTGGGATAACAGGTATGAGCCACCGTGCCCGGTGTTAGCTCCCACTTACAAGTGAGAACATGCAGTATTTGGTTTTCTGTTCCTGCATTAATTTGCGTAGGATAATGCCCTCCAGTTCCATCCATGTTGCTGCAAAGGACACGATTTCATTCTTTTTTATGTCTGTGTAGTAGTCCATGGTGTATACGTACCACACTTTCTTTATTCAATCTACTATTGATAGGTACTTGATACCCAGAATTCTTGAAGAAGTGTTTCTGTTTATAATGATATTGTAGAGGATTAAAGATGAGTGCAATTTTTTTTTTTACATTCCTCCTGTTGAGAGTTGGGTATCTATGTCTCTTCCCCTTGAACCTGAGCTGGTCTATGCCTGCTTTGACAGTACTGTGGAAGCGATACTGTACCAGTGCCAATCATAGCCTTTAACAGGACTAGAAATTTCCACGTTGGTCTCTTGGAGCCCTGTGTTGTCACATAAGAAGTCTGGCTACCCTGAAGTGCCATGGTGGGATAGCTGTGTTGAGAGGGGAGAGGGAGGGACGGAAGGGATGTCTTAGGCAGCTGCCAGCTGTGATTTGTATCATCTAGTCCAGCTGAGGCTCCAGACATTGCAAAGCAGAGAGAGATGAACCTCCCTCCTGACTTCTTTGAATTCCTGACCCTCAGAATTGTGAAAATTATATCACAAGTATAAATTGTTTTAAGCAACAAAGTTTGGGAGCAGTTTATTAAGCATCATTAGTTAGCTGTGTTTTTGGAGTGTGGTGATGGTTTCTGTGGACACTGCCCTGGGAACATGAGTCGTCACATTCCCTCCTTTTTTATTTCCCATTGCAACCAATAAAGGCTGTTCCTACTGTTAGAAAGGGAGAGAGAAAGAAGAAAAAATCCCCCCAAATCATTAACTAGAAGAGTTGTTTTAAGATAACCAACTATTATTTTAATTCACAAATGTGTATACAAAGATTACATAAAGAAATTGAGTACACATGTTGCATTTAAAAAATTAGGTTCTTTGTACAAAATTAAAATGAATTTAAGCAAACATTTTAACATTTTAAAAATTAATCATTGATTGATTGATTGATCGAGATGGAGTTTTGCTCTTGTTGCCCAGGCTGGAGTGCAACGGTGCAATCGTGGCTCACCGCAACGTCCGCCTCCTGGGTTCAAGTGATTCTCCTGCCTCAGCCTCCTGAGTAGCTGGGATCACAAGCACCCACCACTATGCCTGGCTAATTTTGTGCTTTTAGTACAGAAGGGTTTCTCCATGTTTGTCAGGCTGGTCTCAGACTTCTGATCTCAGGTGATCCACCTGCCTTGGCCTCCCAAAGGTCACCTGGCCAATCACATATTTAATATTAAGTTTTTAGAAACATTATTATTTAAAAAATAACTGACACTGCTTTAACAGTGATTAATTCACCATGGTATAATTAGCAAGAATGATGCATTTTATTTAAGTTGCAGAAAATAATTATTCAGATCCTTCCTGAGTATTTTTAGTTTTTTTTTTTTTTTTTGAGACAAGAGTCTCGCTTTGTCACCAGGCTGGAGTACAGTGGTGCAATCTCAGTTCACGGCAACCTCTGCCTCCTGGGGTCAAGTGATTCTCCTCCTCAGCCTCCCAAGTAGCTGGGATTATAGGTGCCTGCCACCACACCCAGCTAATTATCATATTTTAGTAGAGATGGGTTTTCACCATGTTGGCCAGATGGTCTCGATCTCTTGTCCTTGTGGCCCGCCTGACTCGGCCTTCCAAAGTGCGGGGATTACAAGCATGAGCCACCACGCCCGGTGTATTTTTAGTTTTTAAAAAATTTTTATTGCCACATCACAAGGAGTCAAGAGGATCCTTCCTAAGTTTTATATCCACCCAAAAACGTGATGTCTATATAGTGACCAAAAATAAAAACAATAAAAGTAGGGTCAGCTCTCTATCTTGGAAACAATTTTAATCTGAAAGCATTCATCAGAGGACCCATATGAAAGCTTTATACTGATTTGTGGAAAAGTAGTAACTTATTGGGCTGTTTCCAGGAGACACAGATTCTTCGTTTCTGAGTTCCTGAGCTGTTCACTCACTGTGCCAGAGCAGCTGACTTCCCACAGGGTATACTTGAGTATCTCAGCAACCGAGGCCCGGCAGCGAGCTTGGAACTTTTTACTAATTAGGACGTAAAGGATGGGGTTCAAGCAACTATTGAGGAATGCCAAACCAGTGGAGAGGGGGATTCCAGCCTGCAGCACATAGTGGGAATAGCTATTGTGGTGAATGGTGAGCTCCCAAATGCTAAACAGGTGATAGGGAGTCCAGCAAACCACAAAGGCCACAACCACAGCCAGAATTGTCCAGAAATGCTTACTGGAGATCAGGATGCTTCGCTTCTTCACTTTGAAGATGAGACACAAGTAGAAAATACTCATTGTTAGCAAAGGGAAGAGATAGCCAAAGATAAATTTCACCCAGGTCAGAACGTGGTGTCTTATCAAAGTGAGGTCAGGATAATGCTTCTGAAAATTGTTATAGCAAAGAGTATGGTTACGGAACTCCACAGTTTCCCGGAAGTATAGGGCAGGACCACCAATTAGAGAAGCCAAAAGCCAGATGAATATAATGACAATCAGAGAGTTGTTGAGGGTTCGATGCCGATGACACAAGACAGGATGGATCAAGTGGATATAGTGGTCCAGGCTGATCACCGTGAGGAAGAAAACACTGGCAAACATGTTCAACTGGGCAATGAAGGAATTGGCTTTGCACAGCCAGATGCCAAAGGGCCAGTGGAAATTCATGGCCACATAGGAAATGTACAGGGGCAGGAAGAGAACAAAAATGAAATCCGCAACGGCTAGATTGAGGAACCACAGAGTAGTGACTGACTTCTTCCACTTGAACCCCGTGAACCAAATGACAATGGCATTTCCTGGAATTCCCAGTACAAAAGCTAAACAATATAGCACCAGAGAGACCCAGTGAACAACTCCTAGCTCGACTTTCTCCTCCAAATCAGACTCCAGAGAGTAATAGTCTAGTTCATAGGAATAGTTCTCAAATTCTTCAAATAATGTTTCCTCTATATCTCCCATGACCTTGGTAAGTGGAGAATGAAGAAATCTGTAGAAACAAATTTAAAAAGACAGAAAAAAAATTTTAAAGAAAAATAAAATGTTAGTGAATAAGGAACATGAAGATAAAAATATTTCAGGTTATAGACCAGACATAGTAATTTTTTTTTTTTTTTTTGAGACAGGGTCTCACTCTGTTGCCCAAGCTGGAGTGCAATGGCATGATTTTGGCTCACTGCAGCCTTGACCTCCTAGGCTGAAGTGCCTCCTATCTCAGCCTCCCCAGTAACTAGGACCACAGGTGCTCACGACCATACCCAGCCAATTTTAAATTTTTTTGTAGAAATGAGGTCTCACTATATTGCTCAGGCTGATCTCCAACTTCTGGGCTCAAGTGATCCTCCTGCCTCAGCCTCCCAAGGTGTTAGGATTACAGGCATAAGCCACCATGCCCAGCCAACATAGTATATTTTTTGATGGGACTTGTGGTTATACTCCATATGTTCAAGTCTTGATGAGCCTCAGTTTTACTCGGCTATCACTCTCCCAGCTATGAAAGTACATTTTTATAAAGTATTTAGTAATTGCTAAATTAAAATGAATGTTAAAATTCTTCTGTTCATAATGTTTGTAGGGCTGACTAGAGAGAGTCTAACATTCAACAAGCATTTATTAGATTCCTACTATGCATTATTATTTTATGGCAGATGCAAAAAAAAAAAAACAGATTAATACTTACACAGTGATAACTTAAAAATCTGTATTTCGGCCAGGCACAGTGGCTCACACCTGTAATTCTAGTACTTTAGGAGGCTGAGGCAGGGAGATCACTTGAGACCAGCCTGGGAAATATAGCAAAAACTTGTCTCTACAAAAAAATTAGCCCAGTCTGGTGGCTCATACTGTAGTCTCAGCTACTCAGGAGGCTGAGGCAAGAGGACTGCATGAGCCCAGGAGTTTGTGGCTGCAGTGAGCTATGATTGAGCCACTCCACTTCAGCCTGGCAACAGAGTAGGACACCACCTCAAGACAAAAATTTTCCTGCAAAATCTGGATTTGTTGTTGCCCTGATTTCTTAAGCTCTAGACAAATAGTTCCAGTTACTTCCTAGACCCCTCCACCTGGATGTTACTGGAGATTTTGACCCAAGATTTTGCTTCTAAGGATATTTTGAGTCCATGTTTATGAAACCAAACAGAGTAATCAGAATTATATCAATATGAATGGCTTTTCATCCCAAAGGTAGCTTTTGGAATAAACTTAATTATGGCCACTTAATTTCTATATTAATTTCCTATAGAATGCAATTAAGCTTTATTTAAATTTTTACCTTACAGAAATAATTCTTTTCTACAATAATTTATGACAAAAATTGGATTTTTTTTTTTTTTTTTAGACAGAGTCTTGCTCTGTTGCCAAGGCTGGAGTGCATGGTGTGATCTCAGCTCACTGCAGCCTCTGCCTCCTGGGATCAAGCAATTCTCCTGCCTCAGTCTCCCGAGTAGTTGGGATTACAGATGCCTGCTACCACTCCTGGCTATTTTTAGTAGAGACAGGGTTTCACCATGTTGGCCAGGCTGGTCTCAAATTCCTGATCTCAAGTGACCCACCTGCCTCAACCTCCCAAAGTGCTAGGATTACAGGTGTGAGCCACAGCGCCTGGCCAAAGATTGGATTTATTAATCAGTTTCACTTTATTTTTGTCCATACCAAATTTTGTCTCTTATAATTTCTACCAAAGTAAGTTTTATTTTGTGCCTACCCACCTCCCTTTTTTCTCATCAAGTCCAGTTTTTCTGGGTTAAGAAGACTTGAATGTCAGTTTTTCAATCAGAATAAAAGTGTACTGTGTGCAATTCTGGCATCTTCCATTTTATTTTGTGCTATTCTATCTGTCGTATTGAAGATTAAGCAGCAAAAAGATTAGTAGCTATATTCATTTCATGGAGCTACAATCATACATGAGGCAAATACGTAAAATTTGAGATTATAAAGAGGTCAAAACATCCTGTGTTGCTCATGGGTTTCTCAAATTCAATTTGACTGTCACTGAATTCATTCATCATCCTAGCTAAAACCTTCTGAGAAATCTGACAGGGCATAATTAAAAAACAAAAGCAATTTATTCACTTCCTCCCAGCCCTAGCCCAGTAACATTTTGTTCTTCAGGATTCAATTCAAATGCCACCTTTCTTAGAAACATTTTCTGACTTACCTTTCTGCAGATAATTATAATAATTGTTGTTATTAAAACAATTTATTATAAAATAATAGTCAATGTTATTGAGAATTTACTAGATGCCAGACATGTATGATCTAATTTGATCCTCATAAGAATCTTACAGATACCTGTAATCCCAGCTGTTTGGGAGGCTGAGGCAGGAGGATTGCTTGAGCCCAGGAATTTCAGACAAGCCTGGGCAGCAAAGTGAAACACTGTTTCATAAAAGGAAAAAAAAATCTTACATTGTAGGTAAGTACAGGTGACCCTTGAAAAACATGGGGGGTGCCTAGAGGTGCTGACCCCACACACAGTAAAAAAAATTCACATAAAACTTTTAATTATTATTATTTGAGACAGGCTCCCACTGTCACCCAGGCCAGAGTGCAATGGTGCAATCATAGGTGACTGCAGCTTCAAACTCCTAAGCTCAAGTGATTCTCTCACCTCAACTTCGCAAGTAGTTGGGACTACAGAAGTACACCACCATGCCTGGCTAATATTCTTATTTTTGTAGAGATGGGATCTTGCTATGTTGCCCAGGCTGGTCTTGAACTCCTGACCTTAAGGGATTCTCCTGCCTCAGCCTCCCAAAGTGCTGAAATTACGGGAGTAAGTCACTGTGCCCAGCCTATTATTATTATTGAGATGGAGTCTTTCTCTGTTGCCCAAGTTGGAGTGTAGTGGCACAATCTCGGCTCACTGCAATCTCCACCTCCAGGGTTCAAGTGATTCTCCTGCCTCAGCCTTCCTAGTAGCTGGGATTACAGGCACCCGCCACCACACCTTGCCAATTTTTGTATTTTTAGTAGAGACAGGGTTTCACCTTGTTGGTCAGGCTGGTCTTGAACTCCTGACCTCAGGTGATCTGCCCGCCTTAGCCTCCCAAAGTGTTGAGATTTCAGGCATGAGCCACCATGCCCAGGCTTATTATTGTTGAGACCAACTCTCTCATTCTGCTGCCAAGGCTAGAGTACAGTGTTGCAATCTTGGCTCACTGCAACTTCTGCCTCCTAGGTTCAAGAGGTTCTCCTCCCTCAGCCTCCCAAGTAGCTGGGCCTACAGGCTTGTGCCACTACACCTGGCTGATTTTTGTATTTTTAGTAGAGATGGGGATTCACCATGTTGGCCAGGCTGGTTTTGATCTCCTGAGCTCAAGTAATCCACCTACCTCAGCCTCCCCAAAGGGCTGGAATTACAGGCGTGAGCCGCCATGCCTGGCCCTATTATTATTTTTTTTTAGAAACGGGTATCACTATGTTTCCGAGGCTAAACTCAAACTCCTAAGCCCAAGGTTCCTCCCACCTCAGACTCCTCAGTTGTTGAGACTACAGGAACATACCATCAAACTTATCTTGCATATAACTTTTGACTCCCCCAAAACTTAACTATTAATAGCCTTCTGTTCATCAGAAGCCTTATTGGCCGGGCGCGGTGGCTCACGCCTGTAATCCCAGAACTTTGGGAGGCTGAGGCGTGTGGATCACCAGACGTTGGGAGTTTGAGACCAGTCTGACCAACATGGAGAAACCCCATCTCTGCTAAAAATACAAAATTAACCGGGCATGGTGGTGCATGCGTGTAATCCCACCTACCCGGGAGGCTGAGGCAGGAGAATTGCTTGAATCTGGGAGACAGAGGTTGCTGTGAGCCGAGATCATGCCATTGCACTCCAGCCTGGACATCAAGAACAAAACTCCATCTCAAAAAAATAAATAAATAAATAAAAAGCCTTACTAATGACATAAAGTGTCAACACATATTTTGTAGGTTTTATGTAAGTTTTATATACTCTATTTTTGCAATAAAGTAAGCTAGAGAAAAGAAAATGTTATTAGGAAATCATAAGGGGCTGACAGCAATGGCTCACGCCTATAATCCCAGCACTTTGGGAGGCCAAGGTGGGTGAATCACCTAAGGTCAGGAGTTCAATACCAGCCTGACCAACATGATGAAACCCTGTCTCTATTAA